CAAAGTAAAGAATAACAACAAAAAAAGAAAACGATTAATCGATTATTAAAGTAGTCATCGATTATTTTAATAATCGATTAGTTTTTGATTAATCGATTAATCGTAGCAGCCCTATCACTAGCTGGGATGTTTTTCTTTCATTTTCACCAGTTAACTTGGTAGTTTTCTAAGAACAATATCAGAGTATGGTTGAAGTTGCAACCACAGCAGCTAATGAGCTCAAGAGCACAGAAGTCTCCCAAAAATCAGATTCTACGTTCAATTTTTGCGAATCAGGATTACTTCCAGCAATCATGCTGCAATTTCTTCACAAAATGCTCAGTTTGCATCTGACAGTTTTGAGGAAGCCCAGAATTCYTCGGCGGTGCGGTGCACAGAGCCGCACCGACCACGTGGTTCTGCTCGGTTTCAGGAAACACCGGGRCTGAAAGACARTATGTATGARAGTTGGCARCTTTCTTTGTTATGATGGAGAGAAAAGGGGCAGCKCTCTCTTCATCTGTTTCTCACATTTCACAGGGAGCATAATGAATAAGTCTAACACCATCTCAATGTTTGGTCTCATCATTAGWTTTCACTTCTCAGATGTGGTTTCTGTACTTGTAATACTGTATTTCAAACATTTCTTCCTTTTTTTCACATGGCAACAAAAATAAAATGTTTCTGGATTTGTTGCTGATGGTGCAAAACTAGATAGAAGAAATTAAATTTGTTAGAGTTGTTTATTCTTTTTTTCATGCAGTGTTTTCAAGGAAACTGATTATATTGCCATGGTCACATTTAGCTTGTAGCTTTTTGATACCGATTGCAAATTCTCCTTAAACATTGTGTATGTGTTTTTTTTTCTCTCCATTAGCATTTTCAGACAATGCTGAAGACCAAACTAAATGTGCTGACACTGAGGAAGGAGCCGTTGCCTACGGTGATCTTTCATGAGCCCGAGGCCATTGAGCTGTGCTCGACCACACCGCATACAAAGAGCAGAACCCACGCTGGATATAAGGTAGGATCACATGAACCTGATAATCCTCAAATCCATCCCTGATCCTGAACACTAAACCTATAATAGCATTATTACAGCAATAATCCACATGTTTTCCCCTCTTTTTTGTGCTTACACAAGTTTATTTTTTACACAAAGTTCTGGTGCGCAAAGTATTTTAAGTCACTTTTTTTTACACTAAAAGTCTGTGAGGGCATAAAAGTGTGTATTTTCTGGTATGAACTTGTTTTCCAGAACTTTCTGGTTTTGGGAAGTTTTAAGATATAAAGTTTGATCCAATAAACTGATTGACCTAAAGCCTATTTTCTTATTTTCTGGCTGCAAAATGGGAAGTAAACACAGTTACAAATTAAAATTGTGTAACACTTCTTAAGTTGGAGAGTGTGGTTTTCTACATTTGCTTTCCTTTAAGTTTTTTTTTCCTGTATTGAAATCTTCTTTGTGATGGATAGATGCTGTGCCAATAATAAGCATCATGACAATGGAGGGATTTCAATTTTTTGCCAACTAAAAGTAACCATTTATATCTGGCATGTGCTTTCAACAGGACAAAATAAATATTTTTGATATTATTGGCAGAACACACATATGTTGAAGACACAGCCTCTATGTTTGTTTACATTTGTGTTCGGGAGATCACCGTACAGAAGGACTAAAAATGAACACACACTATTCATTACATGCATTCATACACTTCAGCMCAAAAAAAAAATCTCCTGCAAAAGGCCGGATGTGCCGAGTTGCTTTTGGCTTTTCACAAAACCCCCTGGAGTTCAAAATGTAACTGGAAGTGAAAACTGTYACAGAGTTGTTCATTGGCAGAGCAGATAAACTTAGTCGGCTTAGAGAGTTGCACAACACTTATTTTGAGGCATTTTGAAAGATTTTTTTTTTTCAGTTAAAATTAAAGCACTTCTTGTAAAGCATTGCCTTTCTGTGCTACACTGTTCAGTCTAAAACCAATAAAACTACATGGATTTAGCATTATGTATTTATCAAATATTTTTATAGACTCAAAAACAAAGTGATTTCGAGATCTGTAGCATTTAAAATGAAGTGTCGGGAGTGTTAAAAAGAATAAAGTGGGGCTTGCACCAAAATATGTTGAAAGCCTTTATTTTTCATACTCCCAAAAATTCCTGCAGATAAATCTGCATAAATCTGATGTTCACACTGTAGTGGGGTTATCATCCATTGTTAAAAGAGCCTTAAATATTGACTCTGCATTCACAATTTGGTCCGTTTTTATTTGCTCTCCATCAAAAGGTGGGCATTATTGTTTTAATTTTATCTGTGAAAATAATTATTGGGTGTGCATCCACAACATCAGTTAATGGTGTAACAATACATTGATCCATATCAATATGTCAGTAAAATGGTTAATGATTCAGTTATATCGAGGCRAAATGAAAATATCGATTTGTATCGTCATCATAAGCTCRATGTGGATCAATRYGCCCATCTAACACAGTCATTCTGTTAGTTGGGCATATGATATAGCATTGTATCGACTGCAGACTTGTGAATTGAATTAAATCGAAATCGTATCAGGACAGACATTGTGGTAGAGAAATAGCAAATCGTCATTCAAAAAAATCCATATCATATTGTGATAAAGYTGGTGATCATCACCTCTAACATCAGTCTTCTTGAAGTTGTTTACTACTGCTAAGTGATGTTAGCAAAACCCCAAAATGGCCATAACAGTCAGTTTTACAGATATTTGTATAATATTTTGTGTTGTAAAAGTTAAAGGCATTCATAACAAATACCCCAAGTGTTGTCAGATTGCATGAGTTTTTGTGATATTGCATAAGATTAACCTTATTTAAAAATAAAAATCAGATTCCAAATTTTTAAAGTTTGCAAAAAGTCTGACTCACTTTTCTAAAAATATAAATGGTTCAGTGCTCAGTAAAATGTTGTCTTCATTGTCAAGTCTCTCTGTATTTGCTTCATGTCTGTATGGTTCTACTAAAATGTAAGTGTGTCTCCATGGTGTGTTCCTCACTCTGTGGGTGTGATTGTGTCCAGATCATCATTCGGCGTCGTTGACTATTGTGGTTGTCATCGAGTTGTCGGACTTCATTTTTAAAAAATATACATAATTACATGTGTATGCCTGCTCATTATGTACTGCTATGTCGAGCTCAAGCTGTACATGTTTGTCTCCTAAAAAAGATATAAAGGTTTGTGTCTCTGTCTAGAAGGAATTTGCAGGAGGAGTTTGCAAGATTTACTTCGGCCCACTCAGTCAGCAGCTTGCTGACGTAAAATTCACTTTTGCACAATACTTGGTTTGACCCACCTGAAACCATTACTGGGRTAGTCAAATGTTTCTACCTGTTCAGTTTTCTCTGTTTTCTAGGATGTTTTCTGAACTATCACGTCAAATTATTTGCATCGGAATTGCTAAATACGGTATAGACTTACCAACTACTACTGGACATCTTCGTTCTCCTCTGGCTCTGGGTCAGACTCAGGCTCCAACATGTAAGACTGGGTGGACAAGTCTTCCCTTGTTGACATCTTTTAATTAATTTGTAAAATACCTTTCTGCACCACTATAAACCCCTCTATCAAACTGAAGTGAACAAGTCTGGAAGTAGTCGTAATGTGAAGCGCCTCGTTTGGGTTTAAAGAGACAGCCTCAAAACGATTTGATCTGAGACACACTTCAGAAAATTGGTGAAAGAGGGGCCATTTATTAAAATGGATGAATTCAGACCAAAGTACTACAGTTCCACTTTCTATAGACCCAAACTGAATGATTTAAATCTGAAAAATAAGGATTTAAAAGCATGTGTCTCCTTTTATAATCCAACCAACCATGCCTATAGGGACTCAAGTAAAAAGTAGTGATTAACCGATTCTACAAGCTGTGACAACTGTCATAAGTTTCTGAAAAAACAACATCCCCACGTTTACTGAGACATGTCATTTCTGTTTTTAAAGTTCACCCATCTGTTGACTTTGTATCGATGGTATCACTGCATGTCAGGACCACTGCATGTCAGGACCTAACTCTCCTGTTAGTTCAAACTTTGCTGCCTGATGGTGAGCAATTTTTAATTGGAAATCCAACGGACGGCACAGCAACAGCTTGTTGGATCCCGTTGCCAGTTATAGATTCGATGTGTCACCTAGTTGAATGTTTTATTCAGGAAGACATTTGGTATCACTCTGTTTATTGTGAATCCCAGCGTCCACTTGTTGCATTCTCTTCTTCTTAACTCACGTTTTCTTCCACTACATCTTCTCAGCAGAAAACCAGCCACACACACGAATACACACAGATTGTTTGGATTGTTTTATGTAACTTCCTGTCTGAATTCCTACCTACCTGTCTGCAAATCTGTCTGCCCACCTGTTATAGTGACTCTGCTTCCACTGCTACTTGTTAAAGAGACATAGTGATACTTCTTGGCAAAAAAAAAGATTTYTTTTGTGAGCATGAGCTTTTTTACCATTCTCCTTTTCTAGCCTTTTTATGTGCTGCATTTGAGTAAGTTTATCTYTGAAGGTTGATTTTCACATGGTTTCTCTTTCATTTCTTCACTTCTCTCAGCCCTCTGTTGAGCTCCCAGTTTACACAAAGGCTGGCTGAGGGTTACTGTCCCCATGCCAAAGCAAACATCTAGTAAGGATAAAAGACCATCTCTCATCACTTTGCCTTTCCTGCTTTAGTCAAACCCATCCTCTTCATGTTCATTGGGAAAATTTAACTATTTCACTACCATACCAAAACAATCGTCATCAAAACAATAGTGAAACAATATTTTCTACCAAAAAAACTACTTTTTCTATTGTACATATGTTTCCCCAAGGTTTTTTTTTCTTTCTTCATTTTACAATCATGATTCAAAATGAKGTAAGTTTGCTCTCTGACCAGTTGAACTAAAATCAGAGGGAAACATTAATGCATAGCTCAGCTTCAACTAATTTGTAAAAAGTGTTGTGGGGGGGCTTTAAGGAAGGTTGTGAAATGTGAAAGCGGCTTTTCATAAACTGAGGTGCTTTCTATTTCATCGCCGGAACACTCAGACTCTGTTATGTACTGAGACACAGAGCACTTTCATCCTAAAAAAGTAAACTAGCAAAATAAACTTAACATGTTTCAAAAAAAAAAAAACCTCATCCATCTTTATGTGCCATGGCAAGCAGAGCCAGCTGTAAATCTGCTGATTCAGTAGCTTTAGAGGAATGTTAACAAGCTCTTCAGGAATGTTGCATTCCCAAGTAGCGGATTCCTGGACTTGTTAGGAGATCCAGTACGGGGGGCCAACTGAGGGAAAAGACGAGGGTAAACTTTGACTGTAAAAACACACATGACGCATTATGAATACTTGTTAGTTATTATGGTGRTAAGTTATATTTTACTGAATGGGTTAAGGTTAGGATGTTAGGGTTAGTGCAGAAATGTGTATTTTGGAGGTTAAAACAACAAAAATGTATTTGGTTTGTGTCTATTCTCTTCCTCCCTACAGAGAGACACAAAATATGCTTTTTTAATACGCCCTGGGTGGGATATTTGAAAGTTAATAAGTGTAACATAGGAGCAGAAACAAATYGTTCACTTAATTAGGAGATACAGATTCTGAAAGTGTCCCRTTTCCTTGTTGGTCAGCTTCCTACTAAAGTAGATCTGTTTTTTGTCTGTTTAATCAAAGCCATCACATTGGCCTACAGAGACAATATTTTAACATGATACTATCATGTGGCGCACACATTGATCAGCTCTGTCCCAATTCAGGGGCTGCAGTCCAAGGTGGCCACGCCGTTTGCAGTCTGGGTAGGTTCCATAAAATGGCCGTGAAATGAGACGGTCTAGCATTCAGCCTGTTTGTATGACCACGCACTACTCGATTATCATAGTGATATGTTTTATATCTCATGCCTCCAGGCGTAAAATGTTTGAACATGTTTTCATTGGAGGAATAACTTCACAATTACAAGATTGAACTTGATGCAACTGTCGCTGATGTCCCCCGTCGCAGACC